AAGTTAGTTTATGAAGCTTTTTAGTTTATTAATATAATATGAAGCTACCCTATGAAGCAACTCTATGAAGCTTTTCAATTTATTAATATAATATGAAGCTACCCTATGAAGCTACTCTATGAAGCTTCTTAATTTATTCATACTATATGAAGCTACCCTATGAAGCATTTTATTTTATTAATAAAATATGAAGCTACCCTATGAAGCATTTTATTTTATTAATAAAATATGAAGCCACCCTATGAATCATTTTATTTTATTAATAAAATATGAAGCTACCCTATGAAGCATTTTATTTTATTAATAAAATATGAAGCTATCCTATAAAGCTTCTTATTTTAGTACTACATTATGAAGCCACCCTATGAATCATTTTATTTTATTAATACAATATGAACCTTTCCTATGAAGCTTATTTCAGTAATACACTATGAAGCTGCCCTATGAAGCTCTATATTTTATTAAATACAAAATGAAGCCTCACAGTGATAATTAAAATGAAGCTTGTAAAAATGCACCTTATAAAAACAATCATCATAAACCGAAAAATCTTTGAAAATTTAGAAATATACCTCTTTGACACTAAAAATGTCCAGTCGAATAAATTTCATCTGTAAATTTGTAAATTGCAAGCTTTGTAAAAGCAAGCTCATAAATTTAAAAACGGTGGTAATTTTAAGAATGCACATAGTTCTTTAATACTGAGAGTACGCAGTCGAAGGACTCGTATTTTAATTGCAACGAGCAATAAACGTTTGTATGCAGAAACGCTTAAGATAGAAGTTGCAGGTAAGCTAGTCTAGAGATTCAGTTTTACGAGCGATTTTTACGACAGGTCAAGGGTGCTTTATGGTCAACGGTGTACTCTTAATATTCTCTGGTAATTTCGGAGACCGTCTCTGGAAATTTGTAAAAACACTCTTGGAATATGACTTGACGGTAGTAAAGTTTATTGGTGTCTATTTACTTGACTGTTCTGGAAGTCCTTTCGTGGAGATTGTAAACTCTCAAACTCTCCCTACAAATCATATTCTACAACCCTGAAATTGTACTAGAAACTTGACTCAACTGTTTTGGTCTATAACTCTATTTTTTTATTATACTTTCAGTATAAAATTTGTCGCCTCTAAATTGCCATAATTCTCTAAAGTAGCTCCTAAACGCATCCCTCTTTTACGAAAAGAGTCGTCAAACAATTTAAAATGTGAAACAGTATAAAATGTGAAACAGTATAAAATTTGAAACAATATAAAACGTGAAACAATATAAAATGTGAAACAACCACCACATAAAACACCAGATAAAAGAAATTTCAGTGTCTAAAAATTATTTGCCGAAAGAATTCATTGAACTAAAATTGAATTTGCCAGCGTCGCCATGAATGCCAAGCACGACGAAATTAATTTCACGAGCGTCGCGACGGAACGAAAAAAAAGCCCGCGTCGCATTAGGTCACGCCTCTGTGCCAGTCGATTGGTTCACCACCTCGCCAATCGTGTCACGTGTTACGTCAAAGGGGTTGCGAGACGTGGTAGGGGTAAACGAACACACATGAGGCAGCAACGTGTGCACGATGTGGGGAACCCTGCACGTTTCGATCGGTGGAAAGTACCAGAAATTCGAACCAGTGTTCTATGTTTATAGTTGAGTCTTCTGTTTAAATTGCAATGACTCTTGTTACTGTAAATGATCATTCTTTTTATAATAATTCTTGCTACAATTCTTGTTGCATTTCTTGTTGCATTTCTTGTTACAAATTCGAGGTAAAGAAATTAATTGTATAATTCTTTTCATAACAATTCTTGCTACAATTCTTGTTGCATTTTTGTTGCATTTCTTGTTACAAATTCGAGGTGAAGAAATTAAAAGTAACACGACATGGAAACCGAAGAAGGTATCGATAAAACTTTGTTAAAGCGTTGCTAAAGAAACTTGCGGTGTAGCGTGTAAACAGTTTGAAGTTTGATAGCAACCACTATGTCGTGTCAGAAGAAAAGTTTCAACTGGAAGTTCAGAGAATATGAACGACATCGTTTGAAGGTAAATCTGTGATCAATAAAATAAAGCAGAGACGAAGAGTGAAGTCGGTTGATTTAGATTGAATGAATGAAGTGAATGTTTGAGTTAAATGAATGAAATAAATGTTTAAGCTGAATGAGTGAAATAAATATTTAAATTGAATGATTGAAATAAATATTTAAATTGAATGATTGAAATAAATATCTGAGCTCAATATATGAAATAAATATTTGAGTTAAATGACTGAAATAAATATCTAAGCTAAATGAATAAACTGAATGTTCAAGCTAAATAAATGAAATGACTATTTTATCTAAATGAATGAAATAAATATTTAAACTAAATGAAAGGAATAACTATGTAAGCTAAATGAAAAATAATAATAATGTTAAACAGGTGAAAGAAGCAACATGTGCTATCGACGTGAATCCTCCTCAAGATAGACCTCACGTAGTCTTCAACGCGAAGGGCTTGCAATTAGAAAGAGAAAAACAAGACCGAATCATGAGAGACAATTTCATTCTTCTGAAGAAGCTGCGTGATATTATGCAGAGGAAAAGGGTGATCGAGGAGAGCCACAGATTGAAGTGGGACGAGTCTCGATGTATCAGAACTCGCTGATACTAATCATTTCTACATTTTGGAACTCTTTTTATATATACATTTGTACTTTTCCAAATAAATGAAGGATAAGGTTTATCGCTTCAAACTTCAAGTCTAAGTTTAACCTAACCTAGGTAATTTCTTACCCCTTTAATTAAATTATTAAAAGTACGAGACAAGAGGTTTAACTTTCCTAAGCTAGATAATTCACACCACTTTAGTCAAGTTAAAAAAAGTAAGACAAGGTTGTAACCAAAAGTGCAAGACAATAAGTTGAAATTTCTTAACCCAGCTATTCTCTCACCCCTTTAGTGAAGCTACCAAAAATAATACAAAGTTGCCACCAAAACTACCAGACAATAATTTTTAATTTTCTAACCTAGCTAATCTCTCATCCCCTCTAATCAATGTACCAAAAGTACTTCAAGCTTGCTACCAAATATCCAAAACAATAATTTTTAATTTCCTAATGTACCTAACCCTCTCACTCCTCTAATCAATCCATCAAAAGTACTCCAAGCTTGCTACTAAAAATCCAAAACTATAATTTTTAATTTCCTAACCTACCTAATCTCTCACCCCACTAATCAAGCTACCAAAAGTACCCCAAACTTCCTAAACAATATCCTAACTACCAAATATCCTAAACAATAATTTCTAAATTCCCAACCCACTCAATCTCTCTCACCCCTTTATTCAATCTACCAAAACTACCAACCTACACAAAAATGCTACCAGAAAATAAAGTTCAATGGAAGAAGCGCAAGAGTACGAAGAACAAGAGGGTGAAGACAGATACCCCACCCCAAAATCCTCCTCCATCCTCGAAGACACCACAAGAGCCCTATCCTTCGAAGAAGCCGGAGAGTGTCTTCACACCCTAGGAAAATGCGACTCTGGGCTAGGTTACGCTTATTTAGGACTGAACGCTTCTAATAAAGGCTTGACAGACATACAGGTGATACCGAAGTTCAAATACGTGCTCTACGTGGATGTTTCTGGGAATAGATTAACTACGGAGGCGTTGAGGGTTCTTACTTGCATGACGTATCTTCTGATGATTCGGGCTGATAAGAATGTTTTGGACTCTGCGGAGCTGGATCCTATGCCTTATCTACAGGTGTGTTATATTGTTAATAGGAATAAGGTTTAGGTACATTTTAGGAACTAGTTTATAGTCTGTCAATGGACCTGGACTAGTACTTGGACTTCAAAGAAATCAACCTGGAAGAGTCTCTATGACTTAATAAATAAACCTTGAGGAGTACAAGTTAACACGTTAACTGCCACGTCACCCTTACATGGGTGACACTTATGTATCTATACTGATTTAACATGTATATTGTTAAAAATTTATTCACTTTCCTAACCGCAAATTCTCGCAATAATTACATGGATCTATGGAAAATAAATGTAACAAGATATTGTGCAAATATTTATAAAAATTGGTCAAGAATTAAAGCACTACTGAATGCAATTGTAAATTACTTTAGTGTGGCAGTCAACGTGTTAATACAGTATTCATTTTGTGATAAGTGTGCACAAGCTGTAGACACTTCAATAAAATAAACCTTGAGGAGTATCTATGAGATAATGCAGTATTCATTTTGTGATAGGTGCTCACAAGCTGTAGACACTTCAATAAAATAAACCTTGAGGAGTATCTATGAGTTATCAGAGTGTTTATTTTGCAGTAGGTGTTCAGAAGCTGAGGGACACTTCAGTGACATCAACCTTGAGGAGTATCTATGAGATAATACAATATTCATTTTGTGATAGGTGCTCACAGCTGAGGGACACTTCAGTGACATCAACCTTGAGGAGTATCTATGAGATAATACAATATTCATTTTGTGATAGGTGCTCACAAGCTGTAGACGCTTCAATAAAATAAACCTTGAGGAGTATCTATGAGTTATCAGAGTATTTATTTTGCAGTAGGTGTTCAGAAGCTGAGGGACACTTCAGTGACATCAACCTTGAGGAGTATCTATGAGTTAATTCAGTATCTACTTTGCAACAGGTCCTCATAACCTTGCAGGAGGAGACTGCAATGAATATTCTACCATCACAATATAACTTGAAGAGTATCTAACTTAACACAGTATCCATCTTCCAACAGGTACTCACCCCGAAGTACAAGCAGAACTTAAATAAACCTTGAACTACCCCTAACACAGTATCTATCTTCCCACAGGTGCTGACCTCGAAGACCAAACAGAGCTTAAATAAAATTAACCTTGAATACTACCCCTAACACACTATTTACTTTGCAATAGGTGTAATAACCTTACAGGAGAAGATTGCAAATAATATTCTTCCCTCCCAATATAACTTGAAGAGTATCCCTAACTTAACACAGTATCCATCTTCCTACAGGAGCTCACCCCGAACTACAAGCAGAACTTAAATGAAATAAACCTTGAAAACTACCCCTAACACAGTATCTATCTTCCCACAGGTGCAGACGCTGAAGACCAAGCAGAATTTAAATAAAATTAACCTTGAAAACTACCCCTAACACACTATTTACTTTGCAATAGGTGTAATAACCTTGCAGAAGAACAAATATTGTTGCAACAAATATTCCACCATACTGATACTAAAGAATATCATACTGAACTTGAAGAGTATTCCATTAACACATCCATCTTCCCACAGGTGCTGACTCTAAAGAACAACAAACTAACAACCACCCTCGGCATCTCGCACACTCTCCTCGAATGCCTCGAACTCAACTACAACAACATAGAAGAAGTCACCCTAAACCCCTACGACCTGACAAACCTAAAAACGCTCGAACTCCGAGGAAACATCCTAACAACCACCAACGGTATATTCTTCCCAGGATTGACTCACTTATACCTAGCAGAGAATCAGATAGAAAAATTAGAAGGATTAGAAATACTCATTAATCTGAAGATCTTGCATCTGAGAAGTAACAAGCTGGTGAATTTGGATGGGTTTGATTCAAGATGTGCGAAGCTCAGTTATGTGAACTTGAGGAACAACGAATTGACAAAGTTATCGGAGCTGGAGAAGTTGAGTTGCTTACCGGCGCTGGAGATTTTGGTTGTTTTGGAGAATCCTGCGGTGGGGGATCCTGGGGAGGAGGAGAGTACGTATAGAAATATTGTGCTGGCGATGCTGCCGAATTTGAGGAGGATTGATAAGGATCCGGTGGACTATCGGGAGCAGAGGGATGCTAGGGAGTTTAGGGCGCAGATGATTCGGGATGGGACCACGTTTGGTGACATGGATTTGAATGTACCGATAGATTGATGGGGGATTGTTGAAACGTGTGTCTGCTATGCTTTCTGTCGATGGAAAATTAAATTTGATGTTCTGTGTAATTTTTCTGGACTTTCCTTAGCTCTCCTTATGTTACTGTCGTTTCAAATTATAGGAATTATATAAGGAACAGTAATTGCATGCAAACTAATTAACATAAACAGCTGAAACTACCTTAAAAACAAAATTTCTGAATTTCTTCTAAAAATTTATATTTGAGTGCATTTTCTGCAAAAGGTATAGCTAGCGACATCTAGCGGTGAATACAGAAAATACCGAAACACAAAATTACAATTATCTGCAAAATTAAAAATTTTTTCGCAGTGTTCACGCTTGCAAATTCTTCTGCAGCCTCAATACAAATAGAAAAACAGCTTTACATTAAGCTATAAGCGTTAGAAACGAAAATGAAAAAATGTGGTATTTCATGGACCTAAAAAAGTCTAGCCATCTAGCGGTGAAAGGTGGGAACTAATGGAACTAAATTTTCCTTATATCGATAATGAAATTTTGCATTTACCGACGTTTGTAATTTACCGACATCGTTGAAACGCTTAAAAATTAATTAGTCATGTATTTCTGAGCGTATTATGGTAATTTCAGTTAAAAATGTTGATATTTAATACATAAGTATGAAATCGATGGGGCAATTCGGAAAAGTACTACTAGCGCCATCTAGCGGTAGGAATCAGGAACTAATTTTCGAGTAACAGGAGAGCAGAAAAGTAAAAGAGGTATGCGGAGTAAGAGGTAGCTCCCGCGCAAACCAGTGCGCATGCGCGGCAGCAGGTGTACCGCGCAGCCACGCGCATGCGCAGTAGCAGCGTCACCTTGCATATGCAATAATTATATATGCAAAAAACGTTAATTACTCATTTTGTGGGCACAATTTATGAACTTTTATGATTAAAGAATGTTCTGTGATCCTTTAGCTGCTTTCTCGTATTCTATTTGTTCAGATTTGTGTTGAGAGTAATTAGTTATTAATGATTTTTGTGTCACATGTCGGCACGGTGCGCGATATACCTGCGCTAATTAGAATCGTTAATTACACGTTTCCTAGGTATAATTTATGTACTTTTATGATTGAAGAATGAAGAGTGATCCCGTAGCTACTTTCTCATATCATATTTGTTCAGATTATTGCTTCCAGTAATTAGTTATTAATTAATTTTCAAGCGGATGTCGGCACGTCATATGAGCTAATACGGAATAATTAATTCTGCGTTTTCTAATTACATTTTATGTACTTTTATGATTGGAGAATGGTCAATAATTGCATAGCTAATTTCTCACGTCATAATTGTTCAGATTTTTATCGTAGTTAATTAGTTATTAACACTCACTGCGACTGAAATTGTAGTACACTGAATACGTGAATAATCCGAACAAATATGGTATAGGAAATTAGCTAAGGACTCACTGATCATTATTCAACCATAAAAATTCATAGAATGTGTTTACAAAGCAAGTAATTAATTTTTCTTAATTAGCTGTCATGCACCAAATGACACGGCCGACTTGCAATTGAAAATTCATTAATAACTAATTACAGGGAACAAGAATGTGGACAAATATGATATGAGAAAGTTGCTAAGAGACCACTCTTTATTCTTTAACCATAAAAATGCATAAATTATGCTCAGAAAATGCGTAATTAATAATTTTAATTAGCGCATGTATACCGTATGATGCGCCGACTTGCGGTACAAAATTCATTAATAACTAATTACTGCGACCACGATTCTGAACAAATAGTATACGAGAAAGTAGCTAAAGGATCACAGTACATTCTTTATTCGTAAAAGTTCATAAATTGTGCCCAGGAAATGAGTAATTAACGATTTTTGCATATATAATTATTGCATATGCAAGGTGACGCCGCTACTGCGCATGCGCGTGGCTGCACGGTACACCTGTTACCGCGCATGCGCACTGGTTTGCGCGGGAGCTACCTCTTACTCCGCATACCTCTTTTACTTTTCTGCGCTCCTGTTACTCGAAAATTAGTTCCTGATTCCTACCGCTAGATGGCGCTAGTAGTACTTTTCCGAATTGCCCCATCGATTTCATACTTATGTATTGAATATCGACTTTTTTTACTGAAATGACCATAATATGCTTAGAAATACATGACTAATTAATTTTTAAGCGTTTTAATGATATTGGTAAATTACAAATATCGATAAATGCAAAATTTGTATTAAAGGTATAATAGAAATTTAGTTCCATTAGTTCCCACCTTTCACCGCTAGATGGCTAGACTTTTTTAGGTCCATGAAATGCTACTTTTTCTCATTTCCGTTTCTAACGCTTACAGCTTAATCAAAAGTTGTTTTTCTATTATTATTGAGGCTGCAGAAGAATTTGCAAGCGTGAACACTGCGAAAAAATTTATAATTTTGCTGAGAATCGTAATTTTGTGTTTCGTTAATTTCGGCGTTTACCGCTAAATGGCACTAGGTGTATTTTTGTCAGAAAACGCGCTATATATTTGAAATATTGCAATTATTTGAGATTTATCATGACTATAACTTATGATTTATGATACGTGTTATGTTTCTAGTGTACATATCGAATTGTTTAAATTTATTAGTCGAGTAATCTGTTCATAACATGAGTTGATAACGTAGAATTCATCTTCCTCTACACATGATACACAACCGATAGAAGGTACGTCACGTCGATAAAATTATTCCGAAAATTTCTTCCTTCTCGATTACAGATAATGCTCCCCAAAAATTGCTAAATCCACAAGTCTATTTATTCAAATAAACGAATTTACAAAATGATATCCAGTAAGATATGCAGATACCACATATAAACATAAGCAGAATAAATATACACATGTCTGTGGTTTAAGGAAGAACATTAGTCTACTCATGACACGGAACGCTGCTTGAACTCTCAATTACTATTATTTTATGTAATAACGCTGTTTCCAGATAATTTCCATGTAATCTGATAAATAATTCGCAACGCGTTTCAGCTCTAATTCAACCAGCGATTAAATCGGACATATACGTACTTGTATCCTACTTTCGCGAAACTTTTTAAAAACGATTATCACGAGCTGCAAATTTTTTCGACTGTTTCCACCTTGTTTCTTAGACTTCTGTTTTACGCCGTGGTTTGGGCGCAAAAGATGCAAATACCGTTGGTAATTAATTACAATTAGATAGCCGTGAAAGCGCAAACAAGAGCAAAACATCTGCACGCTGGTAGAACACGATTTTCATAATTTTCGGTAGGAATACAAGGAAAAGGAACATGGAATTCTTGGTTACGCCGTGACGGTGTGCCGGGGCTCGAAGATCTTCGTTATTATTTCAGCGAAACGAAGCGTGCACCACTGCACGCTCGAGTTGGCTCCCGTGCGAGTTGTTAACTTCTGCGCGAGGATTTTGTCCAATTTATTAGCTGCGTTTCTTTCGGACAGATTCTGTCGACCTTAAAAATGTACCGAACGTTTCAAATTTCGAGCAGTGCAATTTCTGATTTTATAAATTTCGAGCAATACAATTTCTGATTTTATAAATTTCGAGCAATACAATTTCTGATCTCCCAAATTACAAAGTTTGCAATTTTCAATCTTTCAAATTCTAAGCATCCCAATTTCCAATTTTGCAAATTCCAAGCGCCCCAATTTCTAATTTTGCAAATTCCAAGCGCCCCAATTTCTAATTTTGCAAATCTCAAGCGCACCAATTTCCACTCTCCCGAATTCCAAGCACTCCAATTTCCAATTTTCCAAATCTCAAGCACCCCAATTTCCAATTTTTCAAATCTCAAGCACCCCAATTTCCAATCTTCCAAATTCCAAGCGCCCCAATTTCCACTCTCCCGAATTCCAAGCACCCCAATTTCCAATCTCCCAAATTCCAAGCGCCCTAATTTCCAATTTTCCAAATCTCAAGCGCCCCAATTTCCACTCTCCCAAATTCCAAGCACCCCAATTTCCAATCTTCCAAATTCCAAGCACCCCAATTTCCACTTTTCCAAATTCCAAACACCCCAATTTCCACTCTCCCGAATTCCAAGCACCCCAATTTCCAATCTCCCAAATTCCAAGCGCCCTAATTTCCAATTTTCCAAATCTCAAGCACCCTAATTTCCAATCTTCCAAATTCCAAGCGCCCCAATTTCCAATCTCCCAAATCCCAAGCGCCCCAATTTCCACTCTCCCGAATTCCAAGCGCCCCAATTTCCACTCTCCCGAATTCCAAGCTCCCCAATTTCCACTCACCCAAATCCCAAAATCCCCAATTACCAATCTTCCAAATCCCAATCCCCCCAATTCCCAATCGCCCAACTCCCAAAACCCCCAAATGTCCAACCCTCCAAATCCCAAAACCCCAAAACCCCTAAATTTCCAACCCCCCAAATCCCCTAATTACCGAACTCTCAAACTCAGCCACCTCCCATCACCGAATAGGACGGTAACATTGTTAACATTCGACAGCGCTCCGGTAAGCCAAAAGAAACGTTTCCTAACAAGAGCCACTTAGGATTCAGTAAGCACATCCGCGATATATGCTGATATTTTTACGCGGTTCGTACGATTCCAGGTTTGGTGGACGACGGAACAGGGAATATAGAGAGGAAGAGAATTGGTGAAGCTCCTTACGGAACGTACGTACGTACGTAAACGAACGTTCGTCACGCACCGCGGCGATAAAGTCAGCCAGGTATCTCAGGGATAACGTTACTCCTGACTACGTGTGTGTTGTCCTGTAATTCCATTAATGTGTGGATGCAGTATATTCCCTAAGAGTATATCTAAGGGTAAAAAATCTCCCTTAGACTCGTAAAATTTTAGGTGAAAAGTGCGTCACGGGTGCATCAGATGCATTAAGAGTGCGTCGTGGGTGCGTCAGAGATGCATTAAGAGTGCGTCAAGAGTGTGTCATGGGTGCGTCAGGGATGCATCAATAGTGCGTCAAGGGTGCGTCAGATGTATCAAGAGTGTGTCATGGGTGCGTCACGACTTC